TGATAATACCTGAGAACCACTTTGCAAGCTGGGATCGAGTTGAAATTGGTAGAGCCCGGCTGAAATGTTCTTAAGAGCATGTGAATGTATAGGCCCCTTTCAAGCTGGACGTGTTATACACCGAAATGGGCGGTGCTGAGAAAGTTCGCAGTTCGAATCCAGCGCAACACAGACGCCAGAGGAGGATGTGTAAGTGCGGAATGGTGGATGAGGTGAACCAACCCAGACTGAGCGGGGCCTTCACTCGTTGTTGTGTAAGGAACCTGATGCCTTAGAACTCGTCCGTGGAAGTTTCTTCGTTTCACCCAGGGTTTTCAAATAACATACATTGCGTGAATACATCGATTTTCAGGAGAATTCCAATTTCTTCACGGGTACTGTGACTTTGCAACCGGACCAGTTCAATGTGAAATTGAACATGACATATGATGTCGGGAAAGACGTTCATATAAGGATGTGGATACCTAGGTAATATTTATTTATTTACTTACTTTTGCTTCACCCACTACTGAGGCGGAAAGATGTGTTTTACTGGGAGCTGTTCGTGCTCTTGCAAGGCCTCCATCCCTTATTGTGACACGTTTTGAAAATATCATCTAGGCGCAGAAATGGTTACAGTAAAAGCAAAAGCTGGTGAAAATAAGGACTGCAGTATTTAGCTAAAGGAATTTATCAGGTTATCAAACATTTGTTTGTGGGTTGCCCACTCATGGTCCAGTCGAATCCTAACAGCAGGTCCTAAAATCTGTTACTCAATATACCCACTCTAATATTCACTTGCGGTAGCCTACCAATTTGTAGATTCACTAATACCAAGATGGCGATGGCTACTCCGTATTGGAACTCATACTTGAGAACTTAAGTCCCACCCAGGCTCAACCGTCCATTGTACCAAGTTTAATGGGAGGGGGAGGGGGTATCGTATTAAAGGCTCACCAGTCCACCGCCCATATATTTATTTGTGAAATCGGTTGACTCTGGTTCAGCTTCCAAGTGAATTTAGGAAAGCTCACTCATCAGAAAAACCTTTTTGTATTTTCAGAACGGACCGAAAGCTGAAAGTCAGATACGCAGACATAGACATGAACCCGCTCCCCACAGGACCAGATACAGGTTTTGTTCTCACATTTAAAGGCACACTCCATGTTCCGTGCAGGTGTAATCCAGTACAAAAATTGAAGCCAAGGGAATTGGGAGCTGGAAGAAAATGAAAATGACACGTTAAGTATGAAACGTTAATATAAAGCCCGAATTGAACCCTCATCTTTGTCAGCAGCGTACGAGCTTAAGACAGTGAAGACAATGTGTGGAGAGTGGAGCGATTCGATGGCATGGTTGGATATCATTGGTAGACCAGTCTCTCTCAGCACACTGGGCGAGTGATTGGAGCCACCTCCCAACTTTATACTACCAATCACGCTAAGACGTCACCAATTCGCCGCCCTCCAACCATTGTGTTCACTACCATATGGGGGAAGGGCGTGTGTGGACGAGTTGATAGCTGGCTTCATACCTCCGATCGTAATTCAGTAGAAGCGGCCGTCAATTCAGCTCAACCAGCTGTCACAACTGGGAGCATAGTTACCAAGAATAGCCCCTGTGTTGTGAGCGAAGCCCTTTACAACACTGAACAACAAACTCAACACTTTCTTTTCGGCTTAAGCAGGGGGCGCGTATCTTGTGACACGTTGTGGTCTTGCGCACATTAAAGTGTGGGAAAACTTAGCAGGCCTCTCTCGGGGCCGGGGCTTTTCCACTGGCTTTTTGAATCTCGGCGCGACATTGGGTGCTGACTTCTCGACTGTGGAACTCTGCCGATCCGATTAACTTGGCATCAGTCACTGCAGCGACTGCACTTTTCGCAGTAATAAATATTTGCTTTCAAGGCTCCTTGCAAAAGTTGTGTGATCACTTTCGCTTGGTAGTTGTCATATTTATAAGCGACCAGTCATTACTGAATACTTCAACCGTCCAATAATTCATCGTTGCCTTCAGTGAATGGCGCAGCAGTTCGAGCTACTATTTTCGGTGGCACTCCAGGAGCTAATGTAAGTTCATTTCTTGCAGTCATTGAAATATTCGAAATTAATTTTAGGTTAGAATCAGTTCACCCAGCCTTCACTCAAAAAAGTAATGGGGATGAACTTCAAAGCTTTAAATGTGCAATACATGGTTCTTTAGGGGTAGTAACTAACTACCCACCACTTTACTTTCTGACGTTTTCGTCCTCGTAGTCTATTCATTCGTGTAGTTACTCTGGAATCTACTCAAGTCTCGAGGGCGTCCCCGGTTGATATGGGGGACGAGTCCTCGATTGGTAGAGACGCAGAGGGTGGGGAATCCATTCCCGGCCAAACCGATGCTGCGCGTGCAGCCTCTGGTCTACGGACCACTGAATCCGGTCCTTTCAGTTGCATCAATGTGCTGCCCTTGTTTGCGCTCTCTCCCCCGGATAACGTGCGTTTCATGACTGCTATTACTGCCCGCATCAACACTTTTGCCGAACGGTACGTGGCTTCTCCGCCCGAAGTACCCCCTTGCTGAGCACGGACTTGGCCCTTCACCCTCTCCTTCTAGCTTCTCTCCATTAAGTGACCCGGAACCTCCATTCGTCCTCTATTCTCTTTCTTTTTTCTAGCTCTCTTCCGCGGGAGCAAACATCTAGGAGGGTCCCCTTCCCTAAAGTTCCTCCCTCCTTCCTAGGCTGTTAAGGTACCCACTAATTACAGGGCCTCCCATAAATATTGCACCACTTTTCTTTACTTGTAACTTCTTTCAAAATGTATGTATATTCAAGAAGTTTTACAGAAATTTTAGCAATACATTTACATATTGAAAGGAATGACATTCATTGGATATGCTCCCTGTTGTTGTGAGTATGGCTCCCAATTGCTTCGAACGCAACTCTACTGTGGCCCGCATGGCATCCTGGGGTGTTCTCTTCGAAACTTTGCAGAGAAAAGGCTCCGGCTCATCCATGTGGATGCAATGTTTAGTGCAGGCTCTGCCCCCTAACATAGCCCACATAGGATGGTCCAGCACGCTGAAATCAAGGGATAGGAGAGCCATTCGTTCGAGGATGTGAAATCGGAAAGAGTGCCTTAACAGCGCTCCTGAACAATTTTTGCCTCCTATGCAGAAGCTGGGTCCTATTGAAAAGATCATCACCCCTCCTCAAAGTGGCTAGATACCTCAGTAACAGATGGTGCACCGAAATGTCCCTTGGCTCGGTCTAGTATCAAGTTGTATTCCTTTGTAAACAGGCAGTGATGGTGAGCGACCGGTAGTTGAGACCCCCGTCCAGACCATGATAAGGTTCGGCTGCTGCTTGTGGCGAATATTCCTTTCACTCTCACTGACTTCCCAAGACCTCATGCGGGCATCCTCGGAGTTTGAAGATTGTAGCTCTGCTCCATGTGAGGAATTTTGTCGTCGATGAAAACGGTGCCCGCCATTTTCGGCCCTCGACACCAGCTCTTTGAACTTTTTGTCTCTGCTGTGCTCCTCCCGTTGGATTGAGCAGTGGTGCTTATGCAACTTATAATGGACTGTGAGCAGTTGTTATCCGACCACTCTCTACATGGCTGTGTTAGAAACTCCAGCGTTCTGGTCACCTTTCTCGAGCCAACCGGGTATTGCAGTCGTTTCGCTTCTTCATGCTTTTCCTGAGATCCAAGATGTCAGAACTTGTGGGGCGGCCGCAACAAAGACTACTTTCATTGCTCTTTCATCCAGTCCACAGTAGGCCGTGGAGCGTGTAAAAATCCAAAGAAGCGCGACGTTCATCACCAGATGTCCGTCCTTACTGCATGGGAGATTAGGACCTCTCTCGAGTATTAGGTGCACCATGAGATGTACAACGAAAGGTAAGCTGTGGAATTTGGCATGGTCATTGACAAGAGGATAGGGAATTGAAAGGTCAGTCAACCTCGGAAGAAAAGCTATAAACAGCTACAGAAATTGAGCTCAAAATTTGGTGCAATATTTTATTGGGACTGACCTACACTTGGCGAATAATGCGCAACGTGCTGCACCTTGTATATATTCCGCTCTTCAGAAATTGCTAGGAAGCAAAGTTTGACGGCGAATTCTCATGGCTGGCATCACGATCACGGTTCTGTCTCTTTTCAGCTATCAATAGACATTTGGGACTGTGAAGGTGGTGAGGTCAAGCTGTACGATGCAAAGCAATGGCAACAAATGACAATGCTGGTGACACCTTCTTTGTACCGTTTTTCTGTGCAGAGAACAGTACGACAACGGCTCAGTGTGCAGCTGGAACACAGAGCAAGTACCATGTTCAGGTGTGACTGACTGAAGTAGATGACTTATTTTGATATGTCTACTATATTGAATTTATTGGCTGTTGCAGTTCACGTCTTCTGATGGGCTCTCGGAGATGCGCTCGTTTGTATGCACCAAAAGTAGCAACGATTACGCAGCCAACTGCCGTCAAACGAACAGCAAGGGAGACTTCGAGTGCAGCCAAGCGCTCAAGCCATTTTACAGAGGTAGGTCTACCATAGTAGATATCATGGAAGATAATACTCACATTTGATTCGAATTGTCTACATGCCGGAATAGGGAATGCCATTTCCTTAAATGAAAATGAAGAAAAAATGGCAAGAATCAAGAAAGAGCTTGGTCAACTATTAATTGTTGGACGGGTGCTTGGTGTCAGTAGCGATTAGAACGGTCCAATCCATTGATCATGAACAAATTGAAAGGCACCAGCCCGCGATAAAAAGAGTGCTTGGTAAAGCATTCTGCGTTGATCGTTCTCCCTGTGAGCTCCTCAACTGTCTGGTACCAACTACACGACAAAGGGTTGATCGGCTTGGTTGGCCTGGACGATGTTACGATCGGAAATTTGATCCCCGCACCGCGTGCGTGACAAGCAGCGCCTCTTATCACTGGACCTATTCCATCTAACATTTCACTACCTCTCACTATAGGTGTGGTATACCAGGCCGAACCAATGAGGAATCCTTGACGCGCACAGAGAGTTCGGGTTATATCCTAAACTGTAGGAAGAGGTGGGGTCGTATTTTGGTGAATTCGATCACGCATGCATCAAGAGAAGAGAAGTGGAGTCACTTTATAAGACGACAACAGTACTAGACGTGATTTCAAGGCTTTCCTTCCAGGACCATCTGGCAAGCTGCGGGACTGCTCTGACAGAGGACATCTCTTCTATGACGACTCTAAACGCACCTACATTTGTGAATGCGATCCTGGATTTACTGGAGAATCTTGCGAAACAGGTACGATAAAAACCAGCTGAACCAGCTGGGACAGCTGTTTTTGCACCCAAGTATATCAGTTTCTCTTGAACGAACAATCATTTTTGCAGG